TATTATGATAATAATAAGTACAGTATAATGATAATAATAAAAATTATATCAATAAAGATAATAATGATAATAATAATAATACAGATGTTATAACTCTTCGAGCATCCGTGGTAACTAGAACAGGTAGGCGAAGTTCCCGATAATGTTTAGAAATCGGTACTCAGAAAAGAAAGAACGAGACACAGACAGAAAGGGAGACACACTCATTTTAGAAGGTAGTCGGAGAGATACCTTAGTGAGTGTCTGTGTCGTGCGGCCATGACCAATGTTTTATTTGTGACTTATAACCAGTGAATAAGCTCAAGAACAGAACGGACCACGCTACTATCGTTATAGGTTCACCTTCATTAGAGGTTCGCAAGAACAACAACAACAATAATAATAATAATAACAAAAATAATAATGATAATAATAATAATAATAATAATAACTGAGCGCCTGTGGCAGATCAGGCATCAGTCGACGATATCCTACAATTGGCTAGTCCACAAGACCGTCTAGCCAACAAATGAAATTTTCGAGGCAAGATACAATCAAGTTAATGGACTGCTCTTGCCGCAGCGACCCCGAGACGAGAGATTTTAAGGAGAGTGGTGCGGATTCACTCCCACTGAAAACAGGTTAATGATATAAGCAAGGACTATAATAATAAAAGGTAGCACAACAAACCACAAAAGACGGCAGAAAGGAAGATGGTGGGAGTAAGGTTACAGCAGAGACTCTAGGGGAGGCTAACGAGGCTGTGACCAATGTGAGATTTGTGGCTACTAGCGTCTCCTTGAAGATTAATTTCTTCCTTGTTCTCGAGCGCCCCCCCCCCCCCGCTCCTCCCTCAATCTGTGCAAGTGAAACACCCTAGGGTGGATACTGGACAGCCGGGTTTTGAAGTGGACCCACCCGAGGGGTAGCCACGACCATCCTATGGTTGGTATCACAGAACTCAGCACTCCGGTAACCCCTTCCATTCTGGAAGATCCTCCAGCGATGCGGATTGGGGGGCTCATTCCAGCAGCCACTTATCCTCAACCTCTGGGACCTAGTGAAGTTGTTCTCATTGCTGGAATGAGCTCCTCAACTATGACGATCGACAGAAATCTCGTAGTTAAGCTCAATCACAACCAGATATAGCATGGAAGGCCACCATGCACCGAACACTTCTTTAACATCGAGTTTACAAACATCGGCAGGAACATATACAGCAATTAGAGATATGAAAAGTAAAGTCATGCTTCAGTCTTGGTGCTGTTAAACGCTCAACTGACTTTAGTAACCTCCACTACCGACGGCTGGAGATGTGACAATTGCTACGGCCCAACCAACGTGCCACTGCCAGGACTTCACATCTCTGAAAGGGTAACCACCTGAACTCCCAGCCATTTCAGTTCCCTGATGAGGAACTCTTGACGAAGCGTTACGATCTAATTTCTTATTGTGGCTGTTATCTTATTCATCTATGTGGACACGTCACTGTCTTTGCTCCCTTTTTCGCGCCAACGGTGGCAGCTGGAAGTGAGAAGGCATTGCAGTACAACGCTAACTTATCTAACACACTTCTCTGTACCTCAGATTGACCGTGCAAACGATAAGAGAAGGAGAGAGCCAGGAAAACAAATATATAGTTACAAAGACCTAGACGTTTTACGCAAGGCTGAAAGGAAAATGTGATAGGTTGAAAGGAGATACGATTAATTTGTAAGATGTAATGGGGAAACGGACTGCTTTTGATAAGGAGAGGTTTGAAAGCTGTTATTGTGTTTATGCTTTTCATGACGTATCACTGTGTTGATGTTTTATCATTATTATTGGTGGTGTTGAAGTTGTTTTGATATTGCCATGTTCATTACTACATTATGATCATGATAATAATGATAATGATAATAACCACTATTATAAATGTTGTTGACGTTATTGTTATAATGATATTGTAATGATAATGATAATAATAATGATTATTATTATCATTATTATTACTTTTATCATTGTAGTTGTCATTATGATAATGATAATTATGATAATAATTATTATATTTTTTGTTTTTATAATGGGTATTGTTATTATTGCTGTTAATCTTACTATCAATATTATCACCATCATCATATGTTTTTTTTGTTTTCTTATTTTTGTCATTGCTATTACCGTTAATGCATTACGATTAGAGGGATATTATAATTATAACCATAATTATGATAATATTTATAGAAATAACAAGGGTAGTATTAGATATTTTAATTATAACATTAATGTTATTACCATTATTATCATCATCATCATTACTATTTTTATTATTATTATTATTATCATCATTGCTATTGTCACCATCGTTACTAGAAATGTGGTCATTGTTATCATTAGTGTTACTATTATTATCATCATCAACTATATCATCAATATTATTATTATCATCATCATAATCGTCAATGTTATTGCTATTATAATTATTAATATCATTATTATTATTATTATTATTATTGCTATTATTATAGTCATTATTGTTATCAAC